GATTGATTAATTTTTCATAAATGTGCTAGGTAAAATGACACCTGTCGCACCCCTAATGGAGCTTGAGCACGAGTGAGTTCTGGCGGGATCAGGTTAACTACTATGAAATACAAATATGCAAATCCGAGGCATGAGTACTCTCCTTATATATTGAGTCATCTCTTCTGTACTTTTTCTCCGATACTGTGTCATGGCTAAATAGCTACATACGCAATTAAAATTTGATGCAAAAAAAGGAGATCGTAGTGTTAAGAAGAGCGCCTAACCACTTCGCAGCTGAGTTTATATCCCTTAAGATGCCGCGAGTGATTAGCGGAGGAGACAGCTGATTAAATCAATAAAGTTGTAGTATCTCCATCTCATCTTCTGCTAAAAAGATTCCATAAAAATTGTACCAGTGGTTAGCAGTCCTGATTCTGATAGCAGTCAGGCGTGAAGATTCGGACAGAGATTTTTCTACCGAAAGGATTGCGACATCATTGACGTGTTCAAAAGCATGGAATCAAAATTTTAACAAAGGCTCGAGGAAGAGAAGGAAAAATATAGGTGAAGCAAGAGACCCTTGAGCTAAGCCATGCGGAATTTTCAAGGTTTTTCCAACGAAATCATCTACTCGGAGCCGAGCTTTATTATGTGAAGCAAATGATGCAGCCCTATTGACGTATGATGAGGGCCACCTTTATTTACACAGGCGGGCATAGAGATGACCAGACTGAACGCTGTCACAGGAGCTATTGATGTCAAGGGTACCGAAAGTGCATACATGCCTCGCTTTCCACACTTTAACGATATTGTGAACTAGACACTTTCCGAGTTCCATGGCTGATCTTTTAGGTAAGGCTCTGGATTTTGTTGGGGAGATAATACAATTCGACAAAGCCAAGAAGACGAAGCGTCTCGGAAAAAGTCGTTATATCTCTTTTTAGGGAACGGAAAGGAGCGAAATCGGTCTCTTATTTGCTGGATTGATGAGACTGTCTTTGTGAGGTTAAGGAATGACCACAACTTCGGCGCGGCGAAAGATACAGGAATATTGACCGTATACCAGACAGAAACTGAAAAGTTATCCAATACATGTACGCGAAGTATTCACCTCCCAGATATGGCGAAGAGCTGATACTTAACGATGATCATTGCCTAGGGTTTTGGACGACATATCAAGGATACAATTTCGATCTTCATCTTCACCTATATAGAGAAGTGTGCAGATCACTCGCGGTGGGTAAGTAGAAGTGTAAAGGAAACATCTTGTTGCCTAATTACCTAAGCAAGCTCCGTGTGAAAAAAGATATCTGCACGCTGAATCGAAGTGCTGTACGTGACACCTTGAAATTGAATTAGAGGTGAGCCAAAAAGGCTAGATAAATCTGCCATCGAACTACTTTATGTGACTTGGAAGTGGAAGACAAGCTATCCAGCTCAGAACGCTTATACTCACATTTGTCTCGCCCGACAGATTTCTGGAAGCTTTTGTGCACCTCGCTAATAAGGCCTATATCGCCAATATAAAGTGCCTCAATATACACTCGGCGTTGTTCGGAGCATTCCTGTTTCTAAAATTCCTTACGCGACTCGCATGGAGACCTCGGCGGGTTAGTCGTAAGCAAAATAGCCTAGAGGGCGGCGATACCTGAAGAAGTCACTGTATCTAAGAGCTGAGGATTATTTTCCTTGAAGGGAAAGGGAAGGCTAGGAAGTTCGGTAGGTAAAAGAACTTACCGGAATATCTCTGCACTTTCGATATTGAATTTGGGTAATTCATTATCGGATAGTACATTTGAAGTGAGGAAAGTTGTACAATGTCAAAAATGGACTCGAGATCCGAAGTCGAACATGCCTCTAGGTCTATACGGGCTGAAAGTCCTTAAATATTAGTAAGGACTAGGTCGAGAACGTCACGGGCGCGATGGGTTGGAACTCTGTAAGGTAATGCCCACCTCAGAGAATTTTTGTCAATCCACTAAACAATGCTGCTGATGTTAGGTGAACAAAGAGCGTTAGGCTCCCATATTTCCAGATGAAGATTAAAATTTCCCACGATTATAAAGTTAGACTTAACTAGCCAGAGAAGGAAAGAGTTGAAGCTTTCAGGCATATGAACTCGAGGTTGTCGGTAGACCCAAATGAACACAATAGGAGGATAGCACTGAAGAAGGAGGGCTGTGAAATCTAGTGAAGTTTCACTATCCTACTGAATAGGTCAAAGATTGGATTTTTCTGGATATCAGTGAGTACGCGCGGGCGCTCATGCTTCCAGTCTCAATTTGAATTCAAAATGATGTAGGCTAGATGTGCCTTGGTCTCATTCTTTAAATATTTAGTTTTTTTGAAAGCTCTTGGAAAAAGATCGCATCATACTTACCCTGAAAGTTATCTTGCAAAAGAGTGAGGTGAGAAGATCCACCGCGCCCAAAGTTTGCCTAGAGGAAACGAAGGTAAGGCGAGAGATTGCTCCTGAAGTAAGTTCTATTGTTCATAGAGAGAAAGACTGTTGGCATTGTTGGTGACACACTTTCCTGAATCTACTTCCGTGGGTCTAAAAGAGAGGCTTCGAGGTAGATGATATTGAAGATTGGTGGTTTCATATGTAGTTTAAACTTTGGGGGCTTCAATCGAATGAGGACTCTTTGCTTCGAGGGACTGGAGAATGCTTGGGTGGCTGTGGTTAATATATCTGTAGGGACGCGAAAAATATCTTAGGGTATGATATACTTTGTTATTGTGTTCTATTGTTCTATACTACAAGAACTTGTGGACCAAAGTATTATGAGGCCTGATCTACCGGGTCTGGCTAGAGCATTAACCCTTAATTCAGCTATTCTTCCGCGTCTCATCACATGAATGATTCATGTTGCTTTTACACACACCTAAGACTTATTAAGCTAGTTCCAACAGTTTACTAGGATCGAAGTGTTCGCCTCGCAGATTGTCAGATTTAGCAGCGTTAAATCATAATAGTTGAACTTATTTTGACGGGCAGAAGGCACATGTTAAGAGATATTGGTGGTGTATCAGAGCTACCGTAGTAAGTGGAGATGACAACTGCAGCGTCAGCGCGACATGTCTCTCTGAGATTATTATGGTTGCGCGAATGAAATTACGTAATTTATTTTCTAACAGATGAATAGTTCTACCCTTGAAATGGTGAGGGCAAAAGGTGTAGTTGAGATCATCTAAGGGGTATGGCTCCAACGAATTGATGCATTGGCGAGCGGTGGATAATTCCCCTGAGTGGCGGGCAGTGCCACATTAGGCGCAAAAAACTTGATTGCGATATTGGGAGGACTGATCAAACCTAAAACAAGTATAGCACTGAAAATAGTCGGATTACGGATAGAGCGGCGGGATGGGGCGCTGTCAACTATTCTAATATTTGACAACTCTTTCGAGAAGAATATAACTGCAATGCGCAGGGGATCATAGTAACCTTCGTGCTGCAACTAGTGAGCGCAAGATGGAACGACGCTTGTCTGTGCCCGGGAAATTCTCTTGAAATCATCAAGCACGGTGGGGAGTAGGTAAAACACTAGATTCTTAATGGTACGTGAGATGCGTTTGACAACGTACTCAACACCGTCCTCGACTTCTTGAAGCGCTTCTGATAAAGAGGCTTCTACAGAGTCAAAATATCAAATGCAAGTTTCAGCGATTGTATATGTTGAAAATTTATACTGAGTCTATTTTAGGCACGGGTCACCCAGGCGATACTATCCTTGAGGTCTGGAAGGATATGTTTCAGGGCTCATTTAATTGATCTTACATCTATTCCAAGGAGACGGGATTTTCGAGACAGGCGAAAGATAGCTTTAGGACTCTTAGGGTCTGATGTTTGTTTTAAAGAAGTAGTGCGTGAGGGTCGGTTGTTAGCGTTGAGTCGAGTCGGAGCCATGGCAAAGAAGCGGGTGGGCCTACTGTGATCGCAACCTAAGATTAATTTGGTTAATTACAGTGATTGAAGGACGTAATGGAATGCTTTGGCTAGACTTGGGTAAGGAGTCTGATAATTTGGGCTGCCTCGGAGAGTCGTGTTGCAAAGAGTGTCCAGAAAAAACCGCAAGGCGAAACGCATCTATTTGGTCGCGTACGAAAGATTTGACGAGAGGATTAGCCTTTTCAACAGCTATCCAGAGCTTGGTGTGAAATTTCTTAACCAAAGTAACTTAAACCTTTGCCACGGACTGTGTAAACTCACGCTCTTCAACGATGCGTTGAGCCAAAGGGGGAGGTTGTTGTGACTTGGTTATCACTAGTGAAATGATGACTAAGTATCAACGGGCTTTGGATAAAGCTTTTGATTCTTGATAAAAGATGAGATATGGTATAGGATTCGAGTTGTAAGTTGCTTGCGGTGAGCCTTCAGGTCAAGATGCCTGCTAGTTATGTAGGCATTTGATCATGTGATAAATATCACATGTTTGTTGTGATGGCGCATGATTCTGTTCGGGCTTCCGTATCGGGGTAGTGATATACTCTGATTACTTATCGCTTATTCCGCTTTGGGCACCAATTGTAATAATCTCAGACCGTTAAATGCTAGTATGCGACTATTATTTAAACTTGCTTAATTCTAAACTTTTGGTTTTCAGATCTCCTAAGTCCAAAGTTACCAGCTGATTGTGGCGTGACGCACAAGACCATAGACCTAAAACTCTATGCCTCATCATTCGTAGCTCATGAACATAGAAGACAGCTCCTCACCAGATACCTCCCCGCGATCATGATACAAAAATCTCGCATTTCTTGCGAGTGTATGCGTAAATGAATCAAGAACTATGAGGACGGGATGATTAGAATCACGAGTCATAAATGCACCTTGATCAATGCCTTCTTTCCACCACTACCTTATTTTTAAAAGCTACCCCAGGTCATCAGAATCTCATAACATCTTGAATTAGAGCTCTCTCTATTGGAAGAGCTATCACAGGCATGAGACCAGCATGCTAATAAATACCCTGAAGTATATTGCCACCACCTTGATTTAATGGCCACTTAAACCTCCATTATTTAGACTCTGCGTCGACATCTTTGTCAGATTCAGATTCGCTTTCACTGTCGCCAAACATATTCATAAGTCGATCAACAGCAGTTGTATTTGAGGGTCTAGTTAGGATCTCTTCTTTATTTGTGTTGTCATCATCATTAATCCTAGGTGATTTAAGTTCAGATTGTATGGCATCTTCGTTTGTTTCTTCGCAACTTGGGCTTGTAATATCTGAAGCTGGAGAACTGACAACTGATAGGCCATCCGATAAAGATGAGGAGTGAGGTTTGTCGTTGAAGTCTTTAGGGCCTTCATGGTCGGTGAAAGATTGTAATTTCTGCGATTCAAGATTATGAAGCGGACCCGGAGGATCTTGTAGAATAAGTCCATCAAGAGCTGTTTGGGGAACCACATCCTCCACTCCAGTATCACCGAGCAAGTGATTCTTATTCAATTCGGACTCTGTAAAGTCTGAGACTCCTTGTATCGGCAAATTGCTAGCCAAAAAATCTTCTTCTTCCTCTAGTTCATTTTGATTGGGCCCTTCAAATTCTTCCGAGTCATTCTGTTGGAATAGATCAAGAATTTCACCGCGATGGACAACATCTCCCTTTTCGTTCAGAACTATATCTTCTTCGAAACTGTTGATATGTTTAGTTCCATCTCTCTTTCGTTGACCTGGCTCACGTATGACAAGTAGGTCAAGGCCGTGATGTTCTAAGTTGTCTAAGTTACCGATACCAGTGGCGATGCGACCCAATTCTTTCTCGAAAAGCCACGGAAAACTGATCAATGGCATCTGCATCGGCTCCATTCTTCGAAGAGGAACTTCTCTATCTCCTACAATGCGAGTTGATTGACATTCTTCCAAGGCAACGTCGAGCTCGTCTTTTGTCACCTGGTACATAGCGGCCACAAATGGACCCAAAATATCGAAGTCCTTACCCCCAGCCTTTTCAATACAGACCGCTCTGAATTGGTCTTTTAAAGAGTCTGATAGCGCTGCAATTACCTCTTGTAGCTTGTAGTCACTACCTACACGAGGTTTCGAAAGCACAAATGTTGACCAGATTTCAAATTCAGTACCTATGTCTTGCTGGTTCATAATTTTCCGCATACCAAGATCATACTGAGATTTAACATCCTTAGCGGCCTTCAAAATTTCGGTACTCAAATCATAGCGCCGTAGGATTCGCTGGTCAAATGATGTCTTCCACTGAGGAACAAAATTGACTTTTTCGACACTATCATAAAGCTTACCGAGAATCTTTTTTGAGTGATACTGGAATTCTTTAGGTTTGTGAGTCCTTTCCATAAAATGAGGCCACTTTTTGGGCCGAAGACGAGGAAGCATCTGCGCTGCTTCGCCGCTCTTTACATAGTCGACAGCCTTGGAGTGTAGGGCAGCTAATTCTAAACCTGGTGATGTTAGTCTAAGTTTGTAAGCTGAATTGGCTTCACTTACATATAGGATCTTTCACACTGTCGTTAAGATAATCAGAGTTTGCAAGATGTGCTGGGGCTATAGTGCGCAATGCATCATTCTTCATGTAACGAACGAAAAATTTCATCAAGTCAGTGATTTGGACGGGTCGATTTAGTCTCTTGGGTTCTGGCGCAGAGTAGTTCATAGGCTCTACATTCCACTCCTTTGGCTTTAATTTTTCATCCCAAATAACAAAGTAATCATCTCCATCTAAATCCCCACCAGAACACATGCTCGCAATATCACGTTCACCGGTAGATGGAAATACGACAACATCTCGAAGGTGACGTAGTTGAGGAACGTCAACGGCTCTTACAACTCGAAGATCACCAGGATGTAGTGATGGGTTACGCCCAATCAGACAAACTCCAACGATAACTTTGAACTGATCTGGTTCGTTCTTATCAGTTATTTGTATAAATATTTCGGGAAGGTCATTTTCGTCTGGAGTTTGCCCATTTGGGGTAGTGGGCTTAGTATATCCCTTCAAAGTACCAGTCTCATCAACGCATCCAAACAAGAATGCTCCATTTTCTACGACGATTCTAGCCTTTTCTTTCAGGAGTTTAATAGACCAGGCTCGCCAAAGATGTAGTAAAGAGAGCACAAAAGGATCTTTTTGAGCCATGAAGCCATTTCGAATCATTGCCGCAAGATTTATTGTCATGTGATTGTCATCGATGTACCGTAACAGAAGATTCACAGCGAGCTCATCATCATTCATAGCGTTTTGATAGCCTTCAAGTTGATCCGAAAGCATTTGCAAGAAAATATCATCTTTAACTCCCAGAGCGGATAGAATGGTGATAGTCTGTCGATTTAACGTTGCAATAGAAAATCTTGAGCATCTTATGATTTCAAGACCGTTATAAACGGCAGTAAACTTCTGCTGACTCTTACGGATATGAACTTCCTTATCCTTGGCGTCCGGCCACACGACTAGGATACCTTTACAGCCTCCTAAACGAAATTGAAATGCAGAAGGTGGAGTTTTTGTGCGTAAACCTAATTCTACCATAATCATTTGAGCTAGAAAGGGACTGATTTTCCCGACACCATCGGTGAAACAGTAAGTTGTAGTTTCGGTGCCATCTTGATATTCTCTTTCAATATCTGGTACGAGGACAATATCTGGTTTTGAAAGTCCGTTAATCGCCCTCGTGGTAGAGAAACATTGCCCGAGACGAGCAGCATATTTTGCTACAACTGGAATATGAGAAAAGTTCCCCATCCATTGTCGGATATCGTTGCAAGACAAATGTTCGGTTGGACAGAAAAAGTAGGCCCCGTTCTCGCGAAACTGAGATCCGCCAAAAGCGAGGAATTCAAACGTTCTATCGCCAATCTGAATACCGTTATATAAAGTGCGGTAGACGCGAGTAAATAGTTCATCATCTTTGGACTTGTCAGCACAAGGATTAATTCGTCCCTAAGAGTATTCAGTAAGACTTAGGCATTTAAGTTAACTACGATAACGAACATGAGATAATTCGTCTGTAAATTGAACCCTCAGAAAGCGACCATCTGTATTTTCCCGAGAATAGTGACGTAGCACTCTGTTGGTAGTCTCTACGGTTGGAGAGCTGAAGTAAATAGTAGTGGGAGTAATCGTGGCCTTTCTGACAAAAGCACAATAGTGAGGAATTTCTGTCTCTGCAGTGAATGCCATAGCCTCACGATCCGCGAATATTGACATAGGATCATAGACACGCTCATCATTTGAGGCAACGTACTCGAGGATACTCCGTGCTTTGAGTAGATTTTCTGAAGCCAGTTTAGCGAGGGTTTGTATGAATTTTCTGGTGATATTGTGCTCGTTGAGAATTTCCCTTGAAATACAAACCTCTAGTTGATAGCGGACCTCGAACGGTAAATATACGATACCATTACTCCCTTCATTGAGAGTGCTTAAATCTAGAGAGCTGATTGAGTAGTTTGGCGAATCGATGATGGACCACAAGTCGGCCTTGCGTGGCTCTATATAGCCCAGGCTTTCGATATCAGTAATACCGATATTGAAGTCACTTAGGGCCTGCTTCATGCGTTCGCTTGGTTTTTCAGCTCGGAATACATATGTTGTCCAGCGTCCTAGGATGATAAGCTTCCTTGTGCTTGTTAAACAAGTTTCAACTTACCAATGTCGATATCCGGAGTGTCTTTGTGGAGAGCAATTTTTTGCTTGTGCAAAGGGTATGGGTCATACATAATATCTGTTTGCCGAAACCATGTGTCGAATTCATCCCACCTTAAGTTGTCCGAAAAGTGACCCATTCTCTTGTCCTCCCTCTTACGAAAAAATTGTGGCGGGCAGTCGAGACTTATGAGGAGTAAGTCTGATAAGGAGTCATATTTTGATCTCTGGATAGTTTTCAATTGACCAAAAGGGATACGAAACATATATTTGTTTATACGATCATATGTTCCTACTTTGGTTATGGAGACTAATGGCTTTCCATCATGTCGTGGGTCTCGAAATTTTAGACTAAAGTTAACTGTGATCTGACGTCTACGAAGATCAAGCGTGAGAGTCAGATCATCTTTTACTGTGGCAAGACTCATCACAAATCCGGGCTTAATCATAATTCCAAAATGCAGACTGTGTGCATTGAGTCTCATAATAGGATCGTAAGAGAGATCTTTGTTAATTGGACTTTGTATCTTAAAAGGGTCTCTCAACTTAGGTTCAACTTCAATTTGATAGCGTCGCAATTCATCTTCAGAAGTGCAGTCAATCAGACACCGTTTGGCTTGGATAGGCCAGAACGGTTTGGCTGGAGGAGGGGAAAACCTAATCTTCCCTCTTCGAGGCCTCTTTCCCACGGTCTCGAAGATTTCCAAGTATGAGATATAGCCGAACTTCTCAAAGTTTCTCCACAGATTGAAAGTTGTTTCATCGTGGGGTATCATAGTTAGTTCAACAATAATGCTGTCCCATTTCTGCCAGAAATGAGTTTGTTTAAACACATTGGCAGTGGAAATCTGAGAGGCTACATTTTTCTGCTTTAATAACGGGTTTGGCACCGGAGTTGTTTTTGGTTTTGGTTTTGCTGTAGCTAACGGCCCTTTCTTGTTTGGCTGTGATTGAGGTTTCTGGACAATATTAAATTTGGGTGGCGTAATAATCGGTGATGGCATTATGAATATACAACTAGATTATTCAGAAAGCGAATTGCAAATAGAAAGCATTTTTACCTCAGGAGTTGCTCCCACGAAAATTAAACCCGAGCGATGCTAGTATGATAGATTCATTAAAGAAATGATAGTTGAGCGTGTGATAATAAATAATTTGAATTTTTGAGAACGCTGAGCGTTCACGAAGGCGCCGAAATCAGGTGATTTTTTGTTAAATACTTGTTGCAAAATATGTTTATGGTTGCGAATTATTTGTGATTTTGATTATATTAAAGTCGGATGTGGAAGTTGCTGGACCAACCCCATGCTCAGAGCAAAATATTCCGGAAAATCTAGTTAAGAGGCAAGTCTACAATGGCAAGTGAAAGTGGGGAGATTCTGAATTTGACAAGTTGGAGGCTAGGGATTAGCGCAACAGAACGTGAAAAGCTCTAATTGTTGCAGCTTTGATCAAAAGAGGTGTAGAGCGGCTAACAAAGGAACCTTCAAATCACATTGAAACGCGAAGATATCAGCTTTGTTTAAGATGTAATTAAATGTCGTAGCAGGCACAAAATTATCTCTTTCAGCAAAATAGTTCCTTCGTTCTGCCCTGGAATAGTTAAACCCAAAAATTACTTGCCAACTACCCGCCATTGCTGGGTAGTTGTGTCATAGTGAAAACGCCCCCGGATGATAGTCTCGTAGTTAGCTATCTTTGTTAATCTTTTGAGTAGCAGAAAATTCCCATTGCATCGCTCTTTTGCTAATATTAATATTGCACAGATAATAATCCTACACTCCATGACTGTCGTAATGAATAACAACGAGATGCATGAGGAACAATTTGTGATCGGGCTGCGACGATTGGCACCAGTGCCCAAGCATGCATAATGTATACCACCTATCTATTTCGTGTATAAACACAATTAAGGATGATTTTAATTTTCTTTCTCTCTCTTACATTCCTGTTAAATCACATGTAGCAAGGTTTAGTTTGGTGTTTTCTGTACTTCTTGAGTCTGTGACTGTCTCGCACATTGGGCTCCTCTTTAAATAGGTCACACTTTGCACAAAGTGCATATTCCTCTTCTGTCACGACAAAAGATATCTAATATAGTTCAGAAGATCGATAGCTATTTAGTCTAACAATTACCCATATAATGCATCCCCTTTTCACATGGAACTTTCAACTCAAAAAAATTGAATAAAAATTAAAGTTGAGAATAGAGTGTGCATATGAAGGAATAGTTTTCAAAAAAGATCTAGCCCCAGCCAGGCGAGGTATAGAGACTGGAGACACATGAGTTGCGCAGATGCATCTATATCTCCCTTCTTTGTAACAATCGAGGCCGACTTGATCCAATCCACCATCTCCGTATCGGATGCTGGGTACGCTCCGGAAACTCATCGGATGGCTTTTCCTCCATGATCAAGGGTGGATAATGATAAGGGCTTCGACCCTAATATCTAATCTGATCTTAATTAGCTTCATCGAAATGTTGATAGGAGGTTCATGCTTAAAGATGAAGACCTTATAGATGGCGAAAGCAATTAGGAATCCTCATCGAAGTAAGGACTATGTTACTCAATCTCGGCTCTGCAAAGTCTACAGTGAGAGCTGGAGGTTCGTAGAGAACACCACTGACAGGTTTAAAGTTTTTATACCCCTGTCCAACAAGGTGCTGCGTGGCAATTATGACTATGGAGCCGCTGTAAATCTCCAGATTTAGTCACAAAGAATGGCAGAAAGCATTTAAATAGTAATCGCTGTAATATCAAAACTCGTTTTATAGGCACAAGTCCTTGCCAATGACAGTGCTAGGTACAATGATATGGTGTTTTTACATGACTTTCACGTCCTGGTCGCAGAATTGGAGGAACCTACAATTTTGGGAGCGACAGATATAACCATTAAAATCTAATGGGAGACATTGTCTTTTTACTTACAACAGTGTAAACCAACACTCTGTCTCTGAAGTTTTTTATGTAGCATGTCGTAGCCAGCCACGTGGCTGGGACAGAGTCAGTGCGTGCCGCACATGACAAGCAACTACTGTGACTCTAAGCGCTCAAGTTCCGAACCGGGTTAGCAAACGCAACTTTAAGCTGTGAAGAATAGCAGGGCAGGGTCTATCCTTGTTCTGGAGAGCCCACCAAAGTGTAGCTTCAAAATCTGATGTCATAATGAAATGCTTTTATCTTGCTGTGCACGTGGGTGAAGAGTACTGTAGTATTAATTTAACTAGTACAGTATTTATGTTCTGGCCTTTGGCTACATCAAAAATCTGGTAATTTGGTTTTTTATAAACGTGCTAGATAGAGTAGCATCCATCGCACTATTGCTGCAGCTTCAACACGAGTGGGGTAGGGACGGATCAGGTTAAATACTGCAAGGTAAAGATATGCCTCGTCCCACCTAAATACCTGGAACTGTGGCGGGGTATATGTGTGAGTTTGTTCATGACAAGCACAATAGCCGGCTTTGAACTTAGCAAAAACTTTCACCCGAAATCCCGTCCCACCAAAGAACAACGCATTGCGTCCCACGTTCGGTATTCTGCCGTTGCCACCACACGCCCGAACCTCGAATCAAATCCCAAGTCTTGTGCCATACTACTGGGCCATCAAATTATGATCTTCTTATGTGTGTCCACGATAATATTTACGTCTGCCCAAGGAAACAAAGCGTGGCGCACAAATCTGGGAGACAGTTCTTTAAGATGGGCGTGAGAGAGATCAGGTTAAACTTAGAAGATGATACAGAGGATACATACCATGTTGACTGGTGTGAGATTTAGAATTTGGCTAGAAGATTTCCAAATTGAAGAGAATTTTATGTGCCAAGACTTTGATCACGAGAGTATAGCTGATACTCTTTTTCATTTGCATCAGATTTTAATTGAGTATGCAGCTATCTAGCTATGACACAATTTCAAACAAATGTACAGAATAGATGATTCAACGTAAAGGAAGAGCAAGCTGATACTCTAAATACATGCCAATAATGGAAGGTGCCGTGGTTCACTTCCTAGTGATGATCTCGGGAATAGTTTGAGTAGCCTATGCACCTTCTCCACTTGGGTGTGGCTTCAAGTCTCGTATCTGGTATAAAATAAGTCGTGTAACGTCTCATTACAATTGTTACTGGAGGTTAAATTTTTAATGAAGTTCATTGTTTCTTGTCTATTCCCTTTCTCTAGCTACAAGTGTTATGTCCAAGAATGTGCGCGACCCTAAGTCACGCGACACGGGACCCACATGGGAAGGAGAAGCCTAAGACTACAATTCGTGCGGAGGCCAGTATGGATAACTTAGGCTTTTTGAGACGTTGACCTGGGTGGGTATTCACGGTTGAGGGTTTGTTGTTGTTGTTTTATTCAAGTCCTAAGCTAAAGCTCCAAATCCACTATGAGTACAGGACCGATGTTCACAGCCAGAACTACTTCTAAGACATACCCAGCTTGATTCCACCGCATGAACCACCACAAAGCCAGCAGTAAGTTAAAAATATGCGCCGACGCGAACTCTTTTTCCCAAAATTGACAAAAGAAAAAGATAAATTGCAAAGAAATTAGAATGGGAAGCAATACTCCTCGCCTCGATTCCCATTTTGTCAGGTTTAGTTTCCTGACGAGTTATATTCGATTTCCACTGAGAGTAGGAGATAGATGCACAGGAGAACACCCAAAATAATTGGTATCCTGCGTAAATTGTTTGAAGCTCTCGAAGCACTTAGGCCCGAGTAGCTTGTGTAAGAAGGCACTGTGTGTCATGGATCAAGGAACAGGCGCTGGTGCAACTATGTGGTCGATAGTATGTAAATTATCATTCTGAAGAGAAAACTACTTCAGTCTCTATCTATACTTATATATACATTGTCTATGTGGTTGAGGCACAGTCCCTCCCTCTCGGTTCCAATGGGATTCTTTACATGTGTTGTAGCTGTATGGTCCAATACTGCTGCCCTGCCGAACTAGATGCCGATGCCTTGATATTCTGTTGAGTGGCATCATATATCCACACATTGATGTCGATCAATCGTGCGCTACCAATATCAGGCTAGGCTCATGTTGGCCAACATGCGCTACAGGAACCAATCGGCTTACCAGCCGTTACACTGTGTGACAATGACCCTCTGATTCGACGCGTGATGTTTGCCTTGAGTCGACAATGTATGAAGTGGGTAGGGGTGGTTTCCTCCCCACAGATGCACTCTGTGATAGCGTGCGGATTGTTGAAGCAACGATGGTACGCCGCGAAATTGCCGTGGCCCGTACGGGCTGCAATGAGATGTCGTAAATGTAGCCTGGAAAGCCCCAGTTCTGGTGGTTTACGACGGCGCATGAGCAGATCTAGCTCACGATACCGTGACGGGCAAGTTTCATTTCACCAGCTGTCGAGCAAAGTCTGTCGCTGTCGATGCAATTTTTGGTGTAAAAATGCTGTCTTGGTGGTTGCTGGCTCAGTTTACACGCTGGGAAGCTTTCGTAGGGTGGATTTGGCCGCTGCGTCTGCTTCCTCATTTCCATGTAGTCCCGAGTATCCTGTTACCCACTTTATTCTTACCTGAGCTAGCCCAGATAATTCGCGAAACTTTCGTACTTCCTCGTGGCTGGTCGAGGACCTGCCCGTGCTCAGTGCATTTATCGCATGTCGACTATCCATCAACACATTAATACACTGCGTCGTTCCCTTCGCCAGGTACTCCTTCCCTCTTAGGTGACCTAACGCTGCTCTAAGAGCTTCCTGTGCCCCCGTAATCTCTGCATCTAAAGCCTCTCTACCGTGCTTTATGCCACTTCCTTTTAGAAAAGTTTTCCCATCCAGCTTTAGGACAAACCCCCAAGCTGAGCGTCCGCTTCCCTCCGATGCTCCGTCCGAGTAAGCACAGATTTTTGACTTTGGCACAATTGTGATCCAAATTTTACAAGCTTCTACTTGGTTTTTTCTCGAACCAACCTTCGAACCCGGCCGTGATTGATAAAATGGTGAGGCAAGAGGATCCGCGGCCTCTGCTTCTG